TTAGTGTGAAATATGCAATTGAGATAGACCATAAATGCTCTCATACAACTAATTTGTTTATAGTTAAACATATATAAAGCTCTAATAAACGAGTATTTAGCACATGATATATATTTTTATTTGGTAAAATTCTCGTTTAGCAAAAATGAAGGCTTATTAGTATAAAAAGCTAAGATTATAATTTTAGCTCATGATCAAGGTACTAATAATTTTTCTTCTTGAGAAATATCGAAAACTAATTTCGAAATGAGAAGATAAAAATTCAGTCCAAGTAGATAAATTAAAATTGTTATTCATTGAGTCTATTATAAGTCTTAATGCAAAAATTTACTTGCTTGAAATCTGTTAGCCAAAAGAAGAAAATAGATCTTACTTTAGACATGATCATATGTCCCTTCTATCCATCTAATGGTAAATTTCGTGGTTTGATAATGAATAAAATTTAATAAATTATCTAATTATTACCACAAATATAATATTACAAATATAACAACTGTCTCCCAGTAAAGTTATTGTAACTCAATACTAATGTCTTCTTTAGGCTCATATATAAACTTTAACCCCCTAAGTCAAATTATAGACATGACCTCCTATAACATTAATATTATATATTATGTAGGCAAATTGTAATGATAAAGCAATCAAAACTTTGGCACTAATGTGTTTACTATTCGTTAACGAGCAAGGTTGCAGAAAGTTTCAAACTAGACACATATCTCACAAGTTTATACAGCTGTTAGACTGACACTTGGGAATAATTTCGTACGAAATGATTTGTGGTCTGCCAATTTTTCACGAAAACTTTATAAGTGATTTAAACTGCTGCCTACAACTTGGATATTGCAACTACCTTAATGACTTTTGAAACTAAAGAAGAAAAATAGAGGATTAAGATGACACAGATTAAGTTGGCACAGGTTGGCACAGGTTGGCATTACATCAAACAATAAGCGTTTGGAAGAAGTTGAATTATGAAAAATATTAATTATTTTTTTACTTTGAAATATTTTAAACTTCTCGTAGGGTTAGTTATTGTGATTGTCCAAAAATCGAAATTGAAAATTTTTACATTTCTTCACGTTTTGGAGGTTTCTGAACATTTTGGCATACCTCAGAAAAAATGGATATGTGCGTGTATATGTATGTATGGATACAATTTTTGATTCACTTTTCGGACGTACTGATCGGACGATTTGATTCAAAAAACATTGGATTCCTATTGATATAAATAAGTGCTGATTAGTTTTTGGCAAAGATGGGCCCAATCGTTTCGGAGATACTGAGCAAAAAGTGCAGAAAATACAAATCGAGTTTTTGAGAGAACGGAGCATCCGATGTGAATGATTCAAAAACATTCAATTCGTAATGATATGGAGAAGTGGTGATTAGTTTTTGGCAAAGGCAGATTCAGTCATTTCGGAGATACCAAGCTATATTTGCAAAAAATGTCAATTTTTGAGAGAACTAAGCATCCCATTTGAATGATTAAAAAAACTTTCTGCTGTGTTGACAAAACAATTGCTTTTAAAAAATTAATTTGAACTTTTTGTATATTGAAAATAATTCAGATTTTAATTTTAATCCTGGCTGAAGTTCTAAAGCTCATTTACATTTTTTATAAATAATTTTAACTTTCTAATTCAGTTTATATAATTCTTATAAATATTAGACAATGTTATAGTAATCTATTTATTATTATAATCTATTTGAAAACATATTCCTCGAACATTTCGTTACGGTGCGGGAAGTTCCAGCAATTTGTCTTAAGGCCGATACCATACACCACTAGTTGTAATTTTAAAATCGCTGGAACTGCATTCTCAAAAACTCGATCAACTCTTCATTTTGCTAATACAAATGGTATGTTTTTCCAACCATTCAAATCGGATGCTCCGTTCTTTAATAAACTGCTTTTTTGCACCTTTTGCTCCATATCTCCAAAATGACTAGACTTGCCTTTGTCAAAAGCTAAAGCATCACGTCTCTGGTTCAATACAAATCGAATGTTTTTTAAATGACTCAAATCGGTTGATCCGTGCTCCCGCAATTGTGAACAAAAAATTGTAACTGTAATGTATTTTATACATTATTTTTTTCTAAAATATGCCAAATTCTTGATAAACATAAAACTTCAGAATATACAAAAGTTTTTATTTTCAATTTTATTTTTACTGTAACTCACACTTCACAGAAAGTCAAAAAAATTATTATAATAAGAAAAATGTTCGTTATTATTTTGTAATCATTTCCTTATGAATGAAAAAATAAATTTTAAATATTGTTCAGCCTAACGAAAATGTCATAAATATAGAACCTACGGGCACACAATAGGTGAATCACCATAGTTCTTTTTAGTCATTGTGAAAAAGTGATCCCCCTACCTCGACAAAATACATATTAAACCCATCTCTCGGAATGCATTCTGTTCCATTTCCATGTAGTTCCAAACCATATGGCGGTTTTAATTTTGCCATCATCGTTTTTCCACATTTCATGAACTTTGCGTAGCCAGTTGTGTGCTGTTATTACGTTTACCGTTTCCACGTACCAAAAACCTGCGTAACCCAATCAATCATATTTGCCTTGCCTCTGAATATTTATTTTCTTTTTTGAGGAAAAATATTTGCGCTTGAAATTTGAATGACGGCGCAAAAAAGCTACGATGCTCGTTTGTATAGAATATACGTTAATTGAAAAATGATGAGAAATGGTCGGAAGAAGATTTCCGAGTGTTATTCTTCAATATTTCGGGTGTTTGGGATAAATTTACATTTATCATGTATTTATTGCAGCATTGTAAGATATTATTTTATAATCACTTTTTATTTGTTATTACTTTCTTTGCCATTTTTTTTCACGACAGTTACAATCAATACTCTCGCTGTTTCGGTTGGACAATGAAATCTGCGACACCCTGTATATTATATTATATTATATTATATTATATTATATTATATGTATGTGTATTTATACACACAACATGCGCAATATAATTGCTTCAATCTTTAAGTATGTTGTAATAATATCCATATTCATAAACGCATCGTCATCCGATACATTGTCTCTTTCCTTGGAATGGAGTATGTCTATATCGAATCGCAAAATCCTAGATTATATATATATATATATATATATATATATATATATATATATATATATGCATATAGATGCATCAAGGACAATGCGTACATTATAAATCCTTTTAGATTTTTTCTGTAAGATAAATATGAATTATCATGCTACTTTCACTTGACTCCCACTTCATTCCCACTAAGTTATATCTAAAAAATATTTTTAAAATTTTTGAATATTTTACCATGCTATTTCCATGCAAAACTTTGATTGAATTGCGCACTATCTAAAAGACAATATGAAGAGCTAAAACTTATAGAGGATTTTTCCTATCAATTTGGAAGCATTTGGGAGCAAGGAAATTCGTAAATATCCATATTAAGGACCACCCTAGTGTGTATACTTATAGAAGTAGAACTTTCATGTAGCTATGAAATTTCAGTACATCCAAGTAATATCAGTAGATAAGGAACGATTCTTAAACCAATTTCCGTTTCTGCAGAAGAAGATAGTCAGAAATATTGACAAGTTTGCGAAACCTTCATAAAATTCAGGGTTGACGATATATATATATATATATATATATATATATATATATTTCTTTATGTCTGAGACTTTTCACCAAACTATAAACTATAAACTATCATTTCTTTTATTGATACTATATATATATATACTAAATATTTTCTATAGTTTTGTTATCCTTTATTGAAATTAAATTTTGAATAAAATATAGTAATGCACATTTTCATTTAGATTATAGTAGATATATTCGTGTTACCAATTCGCAAATAATTGGCATATGTAATTCTAACCATTTAATTTGCATTTTGTGTTAATTAAACTGCGGAAAACACTATGAAAATAGTAATAATGATTCACAAATAAACACTTCTACAATTTGGGAAACCAAAACGGGCTGAATCGTGTCTAGATTTTGAATGTAAATAAATGTAGTCAAGTAATAACTACCTCGCAAGATTATCTGTTTTAATAAATAAATTTAATTTCTACAAAATTAAACGGTTATAATCATTATTCTATTCCAATATAATAATGGGTAGTTCTGCCCTAGGGCAGGTCCGTGAGTTAAGTTAAACTCAAACTCGATTCAGGAAAGAATAGTGTGAAATTTTCCATTGCCAAACTGCCCAAAATGAGCTAATTTTCAATTGAAAACATAATTTTGATCTATAAAAATGAACACCGCTGGTGCCCGAGTGTTAATTATTTATTTATTATCAGGCAATTGAGATAATTTGAAAGAAATACGTGATGGAAGTTTTTGTGAAAATAATTTCTGTATATCAAACCAAAGAAAAAATCTTTTACAATTATTAAAAAATCAAGATATAATATGAAGATAAAACGAAAATTAACATCTATGAATGAAGAATTTAAAATTCTTAAAAAAAATACTGTACAATTTTTACCAGAAAAAGAATCAGTTCCTGAGAAAAAAAAGACTTACAAACTGAAAAATAGTGATAGAAAGATACTAAAGCCACCAAATCGATACAAGTAAGTAGAATTTGCTTGTGCCTCAAACTGCCTCCACATTTATATATGTATCTTTAAATATTTTGATACAATAATACACGACCTTTTAACACTATAATCTTAATTGTATAAATCTCTCCAATAAAATGAAAATGTATAGTTAAAAAGAATGGAATATTAAATATCTAAATAATTCCAAAACTATATTTCATAATGATGGGTTTCACATTTGGTTAGAATTAAATTTTCGAAAAGTACTATGCAGAAGTTATGTTTTTGTAGTCTGCATAATCTTATATAAGTTTTGTATTTCTAAATAATTTAAATAATTTACTAAAATTATTTAATTCACTGTATTTTTGGTGAAATGGCAAATAAAATAATATAATAAAAATAATTTACATTTAAAATATTCCCCTTCAAATTTTTCATTTCTTATTATTACTATTGTTTTTTGTTATAGTATATTTTCCACATTCACAGTAATCTTCTTTCAATGGTTTATTTATTTCTTCGCAGGTTTGCCTGCAACATTTTGGCAACTTGGGGCACAGCGGATTATATAAAGGATCATCATCCTTAAGCTGTTTATAGCTTTTAGCAGTTTTTAAAGATATGCCAGTTTTCTTTTCAGGTTTAGGTTTTTGACTTTCTTGAGATTTTTTGGGAGTTGCATTATAATTTGGTAAGCAATGTGGGGCCAGTTTGGGGCATAAGCGATTTCCACCTAATTGCAGTGATTTAGAGGGTTTAGTCGCTTTCTGTTCTACTTTTCCATGTTTCACTTCTTTTTTGGGTACTTGTTTAACCTGGGGAACAGATTCTTTTTTCTTTGGCACTAACTGCTTAGTAATCTTCTTTAAGATTTTAGAATCCTTTTTGATAGAAGTCATTTGTTGCTTGAATGTTTTTTTCTTTTTCATGATATAATTTGGGCTTTTAATAATAGTAAAAGATTTTTTCTTTGGTTTGATATTACTTGCAGGAGCACGCGGCCTACTTGCTTTTGGTTTTGGAGCACAAGGTTTACTTTTGACAATTGGAATGTTTTTATCCGCCAAATTCTTGGTACTAGGTGGTAAACTCTTCTTACACGGTTGCGGTTGAGGTTGACCCTTGTCAGTTGGAATGGTTTTGTTAACTGCTGGTGGACTACTTGGTCGACTTTTGTCAATTGGGACGCTCTTCTTAGCCGGTGGTGTAACACTAGGTTGACTCTTGACAATTGGAATGCTTTTCTTAGTCGGCGGTGTAATAATAGGTTTACTCTTGACAACTGGAATGCTTTTCTTAGCCGGTGGTGTAATACTTGGTTGACTCTTGTCAGTTCGAATATTTTTGGTAGCCGGTGGTGTAATACAAGGTTGAGACTTGCCAGTCGCAATATTTTTCTTAACCTGTGCTTTAATGTCAGGTTGACCCTTATCACATGGTTCACGTCTCCTGATTGGAATATCTTCAGTAGATGCTCCTTTATAACTAGATTCATTTTCAGTTGTTGAAACGTCTCTTTTATATTTCTTTTCTGTAGTAGAACAATCGTCAGCAGTTGGAACCTCCTTATCATAAGATCTTTTTTACAAATTGATTGATCTTTATCAGTTGAAACGTCTCTCTCATATTTCTTTTTGCAAGTAGATTGATCATCAGTTGAAACGTCTTTCGTGTGCCTGCTTTTGCAAGGAGATTGATGTTGATCAGTTGAAACCGCCCGAATGGATTCTTTTTTGTTACAAGACTGATCTTCAGTGGTTGTTGCAGTTGGCTCCTTAGCAGTTGGAACGTCCTCACTCGTCAATGTGGAAGTTGGTGCATCTTTAGTGTATTTGCTTTTGCTAGTAGATTGATCTCTAGCAATTAATTGGTTTTCATTAGATGATCTTTTATAGCTAACTGTATCATAATCATCACTGCAAGGATATGGCTTATCAAAATCCAAACTTTCTTCTCTTTCTGTTTTAGCACACGTTACCGGCGATTGATGTCCGCTTCCAGAATCATTTCCTTGACAACTAGGATCACAAACATCATCTCCAGGTAAGAGTTTTGGGCATATTTCTTCTCCAATAGGTACCAATTTCATGCCAACTCTTGCAGCTGCCTCTTCAGCCTCGCGCATGGCTTTTCTTTGACGCCATTCAGAAGCTGGTGGACAATTTGGACGGGCTTTGAACTGTGCGAGAAAACACCAAAATTTGTCGATAAATGATGGTTTTTTAGGTTTTTCGAAATCCTCTGGCATACATTCGTCTTTGATTTCGTGAACACACAACTCCGATGTCTTTTTAGATTCTTGTACAACATTGGCCGGCAGTTTTAATTGACATTCTTTAATATGTTTTTGAAAATCTGTAACGGAATTTGTTTTGAAATTTCTATTTTGTTCAGTAACACGGAAATTGGTTCTTAATACGGCTTTTTGTTCGGATCCATTAGCATATCTATGTGTTTTAAATTGACTGTAACTTTGAGGTTTTTGTGCTTCATTCTGTTTATTCCGTTGTTCTCGAAAATATTCTGAAAATGAAGGTATTGGTGGTTTTCTCTTCATTTTCAATCGATGGCAAAGATATACTATTTTTGAGTTTCATTATTTACAATACTGTTGATTTACATTCTAACCAAAATAAATAATCATGATATTCTCGATTTACAAAATTGAATAATGAAAGATATTTAAGTTGAGATTTTGTTTTGAAATTTCAATTATGTAAAGATTGTACATTATGAAAAAATTGTCAAAATTAAATAATTTTTCATAATTGTAAAAATGACTTAATAATTAAACAATAATAAAAGTAGCGAAGGCAACCCTTGAATTAATATTTTCAAGACAAATATCAAAAATTAGAAATTTAATCTAGTTTGATGTTATCAATATGACATATGTCAAATGAAATTCATAGCTTTCAAATTTCGATATTTTAAATAATGTATAACAATAACTGAATTGATAAAATTTTGATTTCTTTACGTTTTAAGCATCCAAACGACCATATTAACACAACACATATAAAATTCTTCATTTTGGGAAATAGTAAATCATTTTGTTGATAATTCGCAAAAATGGATAATAATTTAGCACTCATTGACTTCTAATTAATTCGCTTGGGGTCGTTATGTAGAAGGTGGATACAAACAGCATTTGTTATAATTAGAATTTTTAGACAATATGTCTAAACATGTATAGATAAAATGTAATAAAAAAAAGTTAAATTATATCCTTACTTTGCTATTTTAAAATCTTTTGTCTAATAATCTGATAAGAAAAGAATAACAAGTAACATCTACTATATGATCTAATTTTAAATTTATTATACTAAATTCCGGATGATAATTGCATGTATCAAGAATTTTCCTCATAGAGTATCTTCAACATCTATAATAAACGTGTAATATTACAGTCGATCAATTAGCAAATCAGACCAGATACCATTCGAATCAATGTTATTATATCCAACCTTCCCGAGAATTATGAAAAAATAATTTATAGGCGTTTACCTACAAATATGCGAGGTTTTTCCTGTAAAGAAAGATTTTGCATCGTATTAGACGCAACAAAGTTGTTCAGACGAGATGGTGTATAGTTATTATTAACATAATGATATAATTGAATTAAACATATATATATATATATATATATATATATATATATATATGTACGATATAAACATTCATATTGGAGAAACTAGCCAAAACCTGAGTCAACATCTTCATCAACATAAAAATAACTCAAAAAATTCCAAGCAATTTAAGACGATGTTAACCGAGCATACTAATAATTTAAACTATAATATAGATTTTTTCAACCCAAAAATGTTACATTTTAAAGAGAACATAATTAAAAGAAGATTTGCTGAGGGGTTGTTTTTGCAATTGCATAACGGCCCTGAACGAAACAAACACGTGGTTCCTAAATAGCGTGTCAATATCAAAACATCAAATTCAAGCCTATTCAAATATATATGTTAATTTGTAGCCAATCGTCGAAATAAAAAAAACAATAAATAATGAACTATTTATTTATACGTTTGGACATGGAAGTGTGTCATCATTCAGCATTTTTTTCATATTTTTTCAATATAACACCAGGAAAAGCAATAACAAAAATTTAAAATGACATATAGAAAATAAAGAATAATAAAGTAAAAAAAATTAATTTAAATTTAAACTAAAGATTTGTGTAGTGTAAGTTGCAAGCAAATAAAGAATAAAAGAAATAAATATTTTGATTTTGACGATATATTACCATACACCACTGACTTCCGTTTACCTCTGGGTGTGTATATATTTATGCTATATTTATACCTGTCTATTGAATGAAATAATCGCGAAGAAAGGTCATTTACGTGATCTGAAGTAATTACTTTGTTTATGTTTAGTTTGAATGTGTTCGTGCACATAAGACTAGATCCCGAGAGTAAAGTCAAGGCGTATTAGTGCGTAGATCTTAAATGAATTAATTTCGCATTAGAGGTGCGATATTATTACATGATTATACATATCAGCACTTTGCAGGAACTATCTAAACAAGCCTACATTAATATAATACATATATACATAATCTTATATATAAAATTCTTCCGTACGAATGTATGATTTGATACTTCTCATAAACGGTTATTCGGATTTTGATAAATCTTTTTAGAGATTGTCAAAGAAAATTTTTAAGATTTAATGAACGACTATAGTAATTTAATGAAAAACTATAGTAATATTGTAGAAATAAATGGCAAAAATTACAAAAAAACACTTATCAATGTTTGGCATTGAGAACATTTGAACTGTCATCTGCTAGAAATGTCAATACACTTGAAATTTGAATTTAGCTAAAATTATGAACCTAGATAATATTAGAATATAATATACAAGCAAGATGTAATGTCTACATTATTACTGCCGAAAAGCAGCTGAGATATGCCAGAAATTAAAATAATATAAGATACAGTCAACAGTATGTTGGCAGATGAAATTACATACTTCAGTTTAATAAATAACAAAATAAGTCCAAAATTGCATGAACGTTATTCTTTTAAAATTATGTATGTCGCATTTTGGTTTATTTTACTAAATTATTTAACAGTACAAAGAATATTTCTACTTATTAAAAAAATGATTTAAATTTTGTTTTCTTTATTTTTTACTCGATTCTTATATTTTTTTATTCGACACAATCGTGTTATTATTTTTGAATGTGGTCCTAGAAATGTGAAAAATTAACCATATTAAACAAAAACTAATCACAGTTTGGTCAAAGCTTTAGACTTGAAGCTTAAAAGCTTAAAGCTTAAAGAGTTTAAAGCATAAAAGCTCGTTATTTTCCAACTGCATGGAATTACTATCAATACTATCACTCCATTTCTGATAGACGTTATATTCTGGCACACCTTATATAATAATAAAAATAGTTATAATATGTAGCACTGCCCTAGGAAAGGTCCGTGAGCTAAGTTAAACTCCAACTTTATTTAGGCATGAATAGTGTGAAAGATTTTCTATTGCCAGCTTACACCGCAGTTCCCAAATTGAGCTTATTTTTAATTGAAAACATATTTTTAACTTCACGAAGGAGAAGTTTATGTTGTCATCAAAAAATCCGATTCACTAATTTTATGTTTTCTCGACGTTTCAAGCCATTCCGAATCGAATGAGACCAAATTTGGAAAAATTATGTGTGTATGTGTGAACAGATTTTTTGACGGAAATCGACGTTTTCTCAAAAACGGCTGAACCGATTTCAAAAAATTAAAAGCCATTTGATGTATCTCGATGAGGACTATCGTTTCTATGTTTTGTGCGACGATCCGCCGAGTCATTTCTTTGTAATTCGGAAATAAGTGTTAAACTTTTCGTCCACATTTAAGCTCATACTACCGAATCATACTACCAACTAGTTATCGATATTTTCAAGAGAAAATGGACATCGCTGCCTCCATATGTCTGGCTGCGTCAAAATTACATAGTTGCTCTATAGACTAGTAAATATCAAATGTTTAATATAGATTTGTATCAAAATATTATACCATCTCCATCTGACGATATCTGCTGTCCAAATACATGTAACAAGTATTATATGGGTGAGATAGTAAGTGCTATCCGCGTTTATTGCCCCCTTATCTCACTCAATATATCTTCGTAAGTCTCAATATATCTACATATATGTATTTAGGCTTATCTTGACGTTTCCAGCAAACTACCCTTTCTATTGTCTATCAACAACGTTATTCAGCCTCTGAATCCGAATACATTCTCGAATGATGTATGCACAACTATACAATGACAATGATAATGCACATATTAGATGTAACTCACTTACACCATATAAGTATGTACTAACAATCAGTCAAATTAGCACAACAGCTAATTAAAAAAAATCATTTCAAACCATATGTAATATTTGCATAGAACTAGAACCTAATAAAAAATATCTAGTTATTACAATAATTTTATCATTCGTGGCCTTAACTGAATCATGTTTAGGTGTTAAATTCAAAGAGAAAGATATTATTTTCATAATAACTTTGACCTCAAAAATGTAACTCCTATCCGTCACATCTATAAATTTTCAATATCTGCGACCTTTGGGTTCGCAAAGTACCATTTGTCTTCCGTTTATATTTCCCAAAGTACATATTTATGTTACGAAACAAATCAATAGGAAAACATCTAGAACACTACCTGCAAATGTGTAAGTAAATCCAGAAATGGGTCAAATTTCAAAGTGCTAAGATAAAATAACACCTTTAGGAACGATTATGGCTATATTTTAATATATAATTCTATACGAGCCTATTATATGTAAATTGTAACATAGAAGTAATATATAATTGTTTCCTTAAAAGTTTTTTTTGTATCTTTCTACTCCTATTTTCTATGTGTTAAAATAATTAATAATATGTACTCATTTTAGAACAATAATAATGTTAATATGTCAATATAACAACTGCAGTAACTAAAAATATGGCTAGTAAATTTTTCATTGATAAGACCGGTATTAATACCGGGATCCCGGTATTACAAATTTCAAATATCGCATACCGGTATTGAGATTTTAGTGCGGTATTGGAAGCCCTAGTTGCAAGCTATGAATACTACCCGCTTTTAAAACGCAAACTTTAATTTTTCGTATTTAAACCGCTTTTCATAGGCCTCTGATCTTTTACCATGATTAATTTGGGCATAAAAGCTACCGTTATGCCAAAATTTTCATCAAAATCAGAGACAAACAACGCGCAGGTTGTCTTTATTAGATGTCGCTCTAATTCCGAACCCTTGTGGCCCTTTCTCAAAAATCATTTTCCACATATACTTTATTGTTTTGGTGCCTTTCATTTGAAATGTCAAAGCAGATATAAACAGAATTGACTTATGTTTCTCTGCGGTCCGAACACTTGAAATTGATTAACAAAAAGGTTAATGGGCGGAAAAATGTATTTGTATAGCATGACTAAGGGCAGTTTGATATAAAACCATATCAGTAAATCAAATAAGTATTATTATCTATAATACTCATATACTTTTATCGAGATCAGATTGAGCGGATAAATTATC